CCCGGTCCCAGACAAAATTTCTCCTCCACCGCGAACCACGAATAAAAATGGCATATTTTATTCTTTTCTAGAGAATATGCAGGGCCCCGAAATAAGAGGGCATACATAGGGGGGGGAAATTATTTCGCAAAACCGTTTTACTTTAATCGCAAAATTTTTGCCGCAAATACGATTAAAAACCCCGGCTCACCGATTTTCGAAGAGGGGTTTTCCAATGTGCCCCTCAGCCGCCTCACATGTCCCGCCCGTGCCATTGTTTCCCAGCCAGCCTCCCCCGGAAACATCCAAGTTTTTACACTCGGAATATTTGTTTTTATTACAGTTTTTTTCGGTGTTTTTTTCGGGAAAATAAGTGACCGGGGCCCCCAAGAAAGTTCTAGTCCCAAACCCCCTACCCCCAATAAGGGGGGGAGAATTACCATTGAAATGGTGAAAGAGATTTTTGAAAAGTAAAAAAGGGGGTGCGTTTTGCCGACCTAGTAAAAGCTGTACAAAAAACCCCAATAAAACCTTGGGAAATTTTGGGGGGCACCAAAAAAGGACAATAAAGGGAAAGCGTTCTTGCCAAAGGTTTAACTGTGTTTTCGAAACAAAGATCGCAAGGATGGAAGATTTTTGAGAAAATCTTTTGGGGGGATAAATAAAAAAACGATAGCAGGGGGATAGGTCCTCAAGCGATCATATGGGGAAAAGGCTGGGAAAATTTCCCCATGAGGGTTTTAAATTAAAAAAATGCCTGCAATGTGTTTGATGTGAGTGAATTTAAGGCCAGAAAAGGGTTTGGGGTTTGAGAGATTTAAGAAGCTTTGTGGATCCTTAGTGTGAAAAAGGCATGGTGAGGCTGCCAGTTGGGAAACCCCCAAACGGCGGGAAAAATATGTGCGGGAAATTTTCAAGGAGTACATAGAAAATGAGGGACTGAAACCCGAACCAAATGGGTTTTTTTTTTGATGAAACAGGCCTGTTCTGGAAGAAAATTTCCAAGCAGGACCTACATTTTCAGGAGGAAAAGGCCCCTCCCCGGACATAAGCCCATGAAAAAAAAACCCCTTACTCTTCTCATGTGTGCCAAAAAAAAGCTACTGGTGATTGCAAAGTGGGCTTTTTTAGTGTTCACCCCTGAAAATCCCAGAGCGTTCAGGGGAAAAGGAATTTTCCCCCAAAGGGTAAATTTTTGTGTGCTTGGAGGGCAAAAAGTAAGGCATGGATCCTAGGGAAAATTTTTTTATAAAAGGGGTTTAAACCTTTCATTTTTCCCCCCCCAAAGTGAAAAATTACCCAACGAAAAGAAAAATTTGAATTAAGTGCCTCCTGGTGTTTGCAATGCCCCCGGTTATCCTACAGAAAGTGGCCCGAGCGACATTATGGGGACATTTAGTTTATTAAGGTGAAGTTTTTGCTCCCAATACCCCCTCCTTCCTGCAGGGCCCCTGGACCAGCAGGTTATTTCCCAAATTCAAAAAACTGACACAAAAACTCTGTTTGGGAAAAGGGGCTTTGTAATGACCTCAGAAAATCAAAAAGACTCTAAGAGAGGGTTTTTGGGGAGATCACTTTAATATCCTCAATTGTGGGAAACCTTTTAGGAAGGGCCTTGGGAGGAAGTGATAAAAGGATTTGGAAAAAATTTCTTGGAGGAAAAATGTGGCCAGAAAAAGTGTAGTAAAAAGGGGTTTTGAAAAAAAAAAAAAAAAGGGTTTTAGGCTAAAACCCCCAAAAGGATTATGCCAGTTGGGGGAATCCATTGTGGGATTGGGAAAAACCCTTTGGGGGGGGGAGGTTAGGGGGGGATGTGGGGAAAAGTTGGTGGAGGGGGACAAAGGGAAAAACTAAACCCCTGATGAGTTTATAGATCAACTTCAAGAGCAAGAGGCCAGACCTGGGGAAACTGGTTCAGAGGAGGGAGAGAGAAATTGAAGAAGTTGCCTACTACAAAGATAAAGGAAATCTGTGCAAAGTGGCTTGAAGTGCAAACCTTCATGGATGAAAATCACCCTCACACAGCTATTGCAAGCCGTGTTGGCAACCTGTACACTGACAATGTTGTGAAACACTTTAGGGAAGTGATAAAGGAACGAGAGGTACAGGCCACTATGGACAGATATCTTGTGCGAAAGAAGTCCAGTGACTCTGAAGCTGGCCCTAGTGGCATTAAAAGAAGAAGGGAAGTAACCCCAGAAAGGACTTGCTACCTCAAGTCCTAATGGAAGGGGATTCCCCTTCTAAACAGTAAGAAGATAATGCTCTCCCCTCCTCCCATCCCATCAATCATCACCAGATCTTCAATAAAAGTAAGTGTCATGTAAGTGTGCATGCCTTTTTCAGTTTATGTGTATTAAAATTAACATTTCATGTGGTAAAAAAAATTTTTTTTCATACTTTTGGGTGTCTTGCACGGATTAATTTTATTTCCATTATTTCTTATGGGGAAAATTCATTCACATAACGATTATTTCGCATAACAATTACCCCTCTTGCACGGATTAAAATCGTTAACCGGGGGTCCACTGTATCATGTTTCTATATTATTCATATTGTTTATGTCATACTAGATGAACTGTGATAGATAAATAAGCCGTATAGATGATATTAGCGAAATTATTCATGAAGAATTTTGCCCGGTCTCCAGACAAACTCTCGTCCACTGCCGGCACCGCCCATGCCACTACATGAATGACATATTTTATTCATTTTAGAGTATATATCAGGTTTCTATGTTATTTATATTGTTTATTATGTCATATTAGATGGAATGAGATAGATAAATAAGCCGTAGAGCTGATATTAGCGAAATTATTTAAGTACAGAATTCCACTGGAATGGATTAATTGCATTTCAATTAATTTAAATGAGGAAAATTGACTCTGCAAATGAGCAAATCCAGTTGCGAGCAAGGTCATGGAACGGATTAAACTCGCAAGCAGAGGTTCCACTGTATTGGTAAAAGAAATACTATACACTACAGAAATTAAAATCCACAACGTAGTTGATTTTTCACTTGCAGAAGTATAAAACAAAGACAAAAAAAATCATAATTTTAATGGTGTGCTACTCAATGTTTAACACTGAATTTGGAGAAGACTTTGGCAAAATAAATGAGGGATTAAAATTATATTAAAAGAAATTAAACCACCATAAAAGTTAAAAATAACTAATCAGTGAATCCAGTTACAGGGAACCCTTAAGTTCAGCTCTGAGAAGGAGACTGTTTGAAGTGTTAACCACTCTGAGAACACACACACACACACACACACACACACACACACCACACACACACACACACACACACACACACACACACACACACACACACACACACACACACACACACACACTAAAAATTTAGGGAAATTTCTTTAAAGAATGAAAAAAAAAAAAAAAAAAAAATTGAATCACCAATTCCTGTTCTCCAAAAGTAAGTGTGAATTAATGCTAAGCAAGGCTAAGAGGAAAAACTGAAATTCTTTAAAAAATAAGATAGAATTTTACAAACATTCCAGGGGTCATGAGATTAACCCACATTAACACTTGTTGTTTTATTACATCTATTAGTAATGATGTGCTTTACTATGCACCAGCATGTACACATGGCTTACTGCTATTAATGTTGCTACAATTATACTTTACAATCTCTGGTAAATAATGGAAACACAAAATCTATAAACAAAGATGCAATTTCCAGCCTGCCAAAACAGGTGACGGGCAGCAATAACATCATCTTTCAACAAACTGGCCACATCCCACCATGGCAGGGTGGCCCAAAAAGAAAAACTAAAGTATTTCTTTTTAAATTTAGTAATGTATACAAGAGAAGGGGTTAAGCAACTATATCATACACACATAATTACACAAGTGATGTAGCTACCTTCTTTATCATCTAGGAAAATGCAATGATAAACATTTGATGTTATGAGTCAGCATTTCCAGCAATATAGATTGTTACATGTCTTAGCAATTAGAGGAAATATGTGCATGTCTGTGAAATCAACGAGATGTAATGGGAAGAAACAGGTAGGAAATGATGAGGGATATCAAGACTTCACAGGTGCAGGACACCTTCATTAGCACATCTGTCTAAACTACAAATTTCTAACTAATTGTTTTGTTTGTTTTTAGAAAAACTGTTTTTGTAATAAATTTTTTAAGTGCCCTTCCACAACCACTGCAGCCAGAGATATTCTATTTACTTCCTTAATACAAACTGCACAGTTTAATTACGATAACATTATATAGTGTACATGAGACTTGTGTACACTATATGCTTGTGTGCAGTAAAGCACATAATGAAAGTGACAAAATAAGTGTTAAATTGAGTTTCTCCAACAATGCTGAAAACAGATACAAGATTCTATTGTACCTTAAAGAAATATCAGTTTTTAACCCTTTGCATTGCCATCACAGATCTACATTATTAATGATAGGGTCCCTCGCTTGGATCTATGTTTTCAGAACAGCTCACACTTACCCAATTCAAACAAACTAGAAATGAATATACAAATACAAAGAAAAAAAACCAAGAGGCTTTAGTTAACAAGTAACAAAGTAAGATGGAATCATCTTTTCATTCTATCTTATAAAGTATTAACTAAATCCATAATACAAAACAATAACTGAAGGCAGAAATGTTTCAGGAACTAAATACAAAGTTCCTGAGTGTTCACAGAAGATACTTTAGATAAAATGAATTTGAACTCCAAGGGCTGGTTACAGTACTAAAAATTGAAATACTCAAGAGTAAATAAACTTCTACTGGATGCTTAAAAACAAAATTATAGATAAAACAGAACCATGAATTAAAAAAAAAAAACAAATGGCGCCACCATCATCTAAAACACACATCTTTGAAAACAAACAAAAACAATTTTTAACAACAAAGCTTGATTACTGGAAACCTTTTGTTCTTAGCATAATTCATTCACAAACTTCCTAAATTTAATTTAACAATTAAACCTACCTTTTCTTTTTTTTGTTTTACTGCAAATTTTGATACTATAACTCACCAGGAGGCAATGGAGGTTGCGACCGTGGGAGAATAACAGGCTTGCGTTCTACAACTTCCCACTTCTCGCGGTTCTCATCAGAGTCACCTAAATCCACCTAATAAATGCAAAGAATTGTAAGTTCAAAGGCCCTCAACCTGTATGAGAAATCTATATAAATGAACATTTCATTACATTTCAAACAAAGCAACAAAAAAAAACAGAAAAAAAAGTGTCATTCTCAAGTGTGAGTCACACTTCATAGAAACAAATATCAAATATTTATAAAGATGAATGATTCAGAGAATCATTAAGTTCATAAATTAGACACATGTGAAACACTTAGGTATCTTTAATGAGGAAACTATTTGTAAGGAAGACATGTGCTTATGGGAAATTCTAAAGAAAAGTTGCAAAGGTTAGTGGACGAGTTTGGGAATGTGTGTAAAGGTAGAAAGTTGAAAGTGAACATAGAAAACAGTAAGGTAATGAGGGTATCAAATGATTTAGATAAAGAAAAATTGAATATAAAATTGGAGAGGAGGAGTATGGAAGAAGTGAGTGTTTTCAGATATTTGGGAGTAGACATGTCAGCGGATGGATGTATGAAGGATGAGGTTAACCATAGAATTGATGAAGGAAAAAAGGTAAGTGTTGCATTGAGGTATATGTGGAGACAAAAAATATTATCTATGGAGGCAAAGAAGGGAATGTATGAAAGTATAGTAGTACCAACACTCTTGTACAGGTGTGAAGCTTGGGTTGTAAATGCTGCAGCAAGGAGGCAGTTCGAGGCAGTGGAGATGTCCTGTCTAAGGGGAATTTTTTTATTATTATTATCACACTGGCCAATTCCCACCAGGGCAGGGTGGCCTGAAAAAGAAAAACTTTCACCATCATTCACTCCATCACTGTCTTGCCAGAAGGGTGCTTTACACTACAGTTTTTAAACTGCAACATTAACACCCCTCCTTCAGAGTGCAGGCACTGAACTTCCCATCTCCAGGACTCAAGTCCGGCCTGCCGGTTTCCATGAATCCCTTCATAAATGTTACTTTGCTCACACTCCAACAGCACGTCAAGTATTAAAAACCATTTGTCTCCATTCACTCCTATCAAACACGCTCACACATGCCTGCTGGAAGTCCAAGCCCCTCGCACACAAAACCTCCTTTACCCCCTCCCTCCAACCTTTCCTAGGCCGACCCTTACCCCGCCTTCCTTCCACTACAGGCTGATACACTCTTGAAGTCATTCTGTTTCGCTCCATTCTCTCTACATGTCTGAACCACCTCAACAACCCTTCCTCAGCCCTCTGGACAACAGTTTTGGTAATCCCGCACCTCCTCCTAACTTCCAAACTACGAATTCTCTGCATTATATTCACACCACACATTGCCCTCAGACATGACATCTCCACTGCCTCCAGCTTTCTCCTCGCTGCAACATTCATCACCCATGCTTCACACCCATATAAGAGCGTTGGTAAAACTATACTCTCATACATTCCCCTCTTTGCCTCCAAGGACAAAGTTCTTTGTCTCTACAGGCTCCTAAGTGCACCACTCACCCTTTTCCCCTCATCAATTCTATGATTCACCTCATCTTTCATAGACCCATCCGCTGACACGTCCACTCCCAAATATCTGAAAACATTCACCTCCTCCATACTCTCTCCCTCCAATCTGATATCCAATCTTTCATCACCTAATCTTTTTGTTATCCTCATAACCTTACTCTTTCCTGTATTCACTTTTAATTTTCTTCTTTTGCATACCCTACCAAATTCATCCACCAATCTCTGCAACTTCTCTTCAGAATCTCCCAAGAGCACAGTGTCATCAGCAAAGAGCAACTGTGACAACTCCCACTTTATGTGTGATTCTTTATCTTTTAACTCCACGCCTCTTGCCAAGACCCTCGCATTTACTTCTCTTACAACCCCATCTATAAATATATTAAACAACCACGGTGACATCACACATCCTTGTCTAAGGCTTACTTTTACTGGGAAATAATTTCCCTCTTTCTACATACTCTAACTTGAGCCTCACTATCCTCGTAAAAACTCTTCACTGCTTTCAGTAACCTACCTCCTACACTACACACCTGCAACATCTGCCACATTGCCCCCCTATCCACCCTGTCATACGGCTTTTCCAAATCCTTAAATGCCACAAAGACCTCTTTAGCCTTATCTAAATACTGTTCACTTACATGTTTCACTGTAAACACCTGGTCCACACACCCCCTACCTTTCCTAAAGCTTCCTTGTTCATCTGCTATCCTATTCTCCGTCTTACTCTTAATTCTTTCAATAATAACTACCATACAGTTTACCAGGTATACTCAACAAACTTATCCCCCTATAATTTTTCCACTCTCTTTTGTCCCCTTTGCCTTTATACAAAGGAACTATGCATGCTCTCTGCCAATCCCTAGGTACCTTACCTTCTTCCATACATTTATTAAATAATTGCACTAACCACTCCAAAACTATATCCCCACCTGCTTTTAACATTTCTATCTTTATCCCATCAATCCCAGCTGCTTTTCCCCCTTTCATTTTACCTACTGCCTTATGAACTTCCCCCAAACTCACAACTGGCTCTTCCTCACTCCTACAAGATGTTATTCCTCCTTGCCCTATACACGAAATCACAGCTTCCCTATCTTCATCAACATTTAACAATTCCTCGAAATATTCCCTCCATCTTCCCAATACCTCTAACCTCCATTTAATAACTCTCCTCTCCTATTTTTAACTGACAAATCCATTTGTTCTCTAGGCTTCCTTAACTTGTTTATCTCACTCCAAAACTTTTTCTTATTTTCAACAAAATTTGTTGATAACATCTCACCCACTCTCTCATTTGCTCTCTTTTTACATTGCTTCACCACTCTCTTAACCTCTCTCTTTTTCTCAATATACTCTTCCCTCCTTGCATCACTTCTACTTTGTAAAAACTTCTCATATGCTAACTTTTTCTCCCTTACTACTCTCTTTACATCATCATTCCACCAATCGCTCCTCTTCCCCCCGCACCCACCTCCTGTAACCACAAACTTCTGCTGAACACTCCAACACTACATTTTTAAACCTACCCCATACCTCTTCAACCCCATTGTCTATGCTCTCATTAGCCCATCTATCCTCCAATAGCTGTTTATATCTTACCCTAACTGCCTCCTCTTTTAGTTTATAAACCTTCACCTCTCTCTTCCCTGATACTTCTATTCTCCTTGTATCCCATCTACCTTTTACTCTCAGTGTAGCTACAACTAGAAAGTGATCTGATATATCTGTGGCCCCTCTATAAACATGTACATCCTGAAGTCTACTCAACAGTCTTTTATCTACAAATACATAATCCAACAAACTACTGTCATTTCGCCCTACATCATATCTTGTATACTTATTTATCCTCTTTTTCTTAAAATATGTATTACCTATAACTAAACCCCTTTCTATACAAAGTTCAATCAAAGGGCTCCCATTTTCATTTACACCTGGCACCCCAAACTTACCTACCACACCCTCTCTAAAAGTTTCTCCTACTTTAGCATTCAGGTTCCCTACCATAATTACTCTCTCACTTGGTTCAAAGGCTCCTATACATTCACTTAACATCTCCCAAAATCTCTCTCTCTCCTCTACATTCCTCTCTTCTCCAGGTGCATACACGCTTATTATGACCCACTTTCGCATCCAACCTTTACTTTAATCCACATAATTCTTGAATTTACACATTCATATTCTCTTTTCTCCTACCATAACTGATCCTTCAACATTACTGCTACCCCTTCCTTTGCTCTAACTCTCTCAGATACTCCAGATTTAATCCCATTTATTTCCCCCACGAAACTCCCCTACCCCCTTCAGCTTTGTTTCGCTTACGCCCAGGACATCCAACTTCTTTTCATACATAACATCAGCAATCATCTGTTTCTTGTCATCCACACTACATCCACGCACATTCAAGCATCCCAGTTTTATAAAGTTTTTCTTCTCTTTTTTAGTAAATGTCTACAGGAGAAGGGGTTACTAGCCCATTGCTCCCGGCATTTTAGTCGCCTCATACGACACGCATGGCTTACGGAGGAAAGATTCTTTTCCACTTCCCCATGGACAATAGAAGAAATAAAGGAGAACAAGAGCTATTTAGAAAAAGGAGAAAATCCTAGATGTATGAATATATATATGCATGTGCATGTCTGTGAAGTGTGACCAAAGTGTAAGTAGGAGTAGCAAGATATCCCGTTATCTGCAGTTTATGAGACAGAATCTGTTGTAATGTTATGCAGGTCCTGTGCACCCAAAGCTCAGGGGATGATCAAGAGTGCTTCAAAAGGAGGGGAAGGGAAAATTGGAATTTGGAGGGATATGTTGTGTATCTTTATACGTATATGCATCTAAACTGTCATGTTCTGAGCACCTCTGCAAAAACAGTGATTATGTGTGAGTGAGGTGAAAGTGTTGAATGATGATGAAAGTATTTTCTTTTTGGCGATTTTCTTTCTTTTTGGGTCACCCTGCCTAGGTGGGAGACGGCCGACTTGTTGAAGAAAAAAAAAAAAAAAAAAAAAGTGTGGAGTTAATAAAAGTATTAGTCAGAGGGCTGAAGAGGGGTTGTTGAGGTGGTTTGGTCATTTAGACAGAATGGATCAAAGTAGAATGACATGGAAAGCATATAAATCTGTAGGGTAAGGAAGGCGGGGTAGGGATCGTCCTCGAAAAGGTTGGAGGGAGGGGGTAAAGGAGGTTTTGTGGGCGAGGGGCTTGGACTTCCAGCAAGCATGCATGAGCATGTTAGATAGGGGTGAATGGAGACAAATGGTATTTGGGACCTGAGAAGCTGTTGGAGTGTGAGCAGGGTAATATTTAGTGAAGGGATTCAGGGAAACCAGTTCTTTTTATATAGCCGGACTTGAGTACTGGAAATGGGAAGTACAATGCCTGCACTCTAAAGGAGGGGTTCGGGATATTGGCAGTTTGGAGGGATATGTTGTGTATCTTTATGCATATATGCTTCTAAACTGTTGTGTCTGGGCACCTCTGCAAAAACTGTGATTATGTGTGAGTGAGGTGAAAGTGTTGAATGATGATGAAAGTATTTTCTTTTTGGGGATTTTCTTTCTTTTTGGGTCACCCTGCCTTGGTGGGAGACGGCCAACTTGTTAAAAAAAAAAAAAAAAAAATGTGCAACATCTGAGGAACTTTTCTTTAGGAGACATTTGCCTCACCAGGAGCTGCTGCAGAGTCTTATACATTGTATGTGTCTTCTTTATAATAAGGTTGTCAAGAGACAACCTTAATGTTCAATGTGGTGGGATGTACTTGGTACATTCAACACAAGAGCTGCATAGAGCTTCCATATTGTTAAAGTAGAACCCTATATTAGCAAAATCTGACACAGACACACACTGAAGAAATACATAACTACAATCAGTAGCACAGCCACTGGGGTTTTAAATGGTTAAAACCCCAAGGAGCAAATACTTTTCATTATTTTTAAATTAATGACTAACTTTTGCTGTACTATTGTGATCAGTGACCACAAAAGTATTATAGTTTAAAGAAATTTCACATAGTGTACATACTAAAAACTTGTAAATTTTTAAGAATTTCTTTATTTTTTCAGCATATTTTTAATCACCCCAGATTGAAATCCTGGCTAAAGGCCCAAAAAATGAAACATTGCATTTATTACGTGCTGTGTGTAGCGATGATCTTTTACACGTCGCCCCTTGACAGTAGTTGTAGCAGCACTATCTCCTCCACTACCTGCTGGTACACCACTTGGAGTAGGAACTCCTACAACTGTTGCCTTTTCATTTTCCATTTCTGGTGCCATATCCTAAGAAATATGTATGAATTAGAATTTAAATATGTCAGCCTCCATAAATATAGGGCATCTACACTACTAAATGCCAACAAGATGATGAAAAAGGCATGTGCCACAATGTTCTATCTTAAATGTTGTAACGTTCTGCCTATGTGGTAGCCTTATTCAGTCAAATATACAGAGAATGGATTGTAGGCAGCAGAAGTGATGAGGTAAAGATGATGTAATCAGTCATCAGCCTTGGAATAGTATGTGGTGGTCAGTCCCTCAACCTGGAAAAGTGTTCAGCTGGAATATATTGTTCCAGATCATGATGCTGAACTCCTCTTCAGACTGAGGAACTGACCACCTCAAACTATTCCTTCAAGGTTGATAGACTGATTAATTCATCCTTACTTCATCACTTCTGCTGCCTACAATAAATTATCTGTATTTGACTGAAAAAACCTACTATGTAAGCAAAACATTTCAACAGTAAAGATACCCAACTGCTACACAAGTGTCTTACTAACCAACTTGTAGGTATTTTATACTATTTTCTAAATAAATACCAACAGTTTAAGCAAAATATGTTGCAATCATTATTATTATAATCAGAAAGAAGTGCTAAACCACAAGGGTTATACAGATATGTTGCAATCATTCCTTTAATATATATCCTTATACACATGTATACTGTCATGTCTTGCTCTTAATTATTTTCATACTTTTAATTTGCACAGTGTTGGCTTCAACATATATGCCTATTCATTAATTAACATTCTCTAATAATAATAATAATAATGCTCCTAAGAATCACAACTTACAGATGCATTAAGCTAACCTTTCTTTTTTCCTTATACCAAATTCTTTCATTTTAATAATGCCATCTCTCTGCTGGATTAACACAATATAAGCAATTACTCTATATTTAATTTTCTTCATTTACATCTGTACATCTCTTATACAATATCCCTTTCCTCAAGGTTCTAATGCTGATGAGAGAAAAAATATTAGAACCTCCAGCCACCTTAGAAAATTATGATAATGTACCATACCGACAACTCTATTTTTCCCTTAAGTCTATACAGTGGACCCCCACCTTACGATCAGCTCCCAACTCGAACAATTATGTAAGTGTATTTTTGCAAGTGCTTTTGTACTTGTATTTTTGGGGTCTGAAACGGACTAATCTAATTTACAATATTCCTTATTTGGGAACAAATTCGTTCGGTAACAGCACCCAGACTTCTGGAATGAATTAATATCGTAAGTCGGGGGTCCACTGTATAAGGTTTCTTTCACATACTACTGTACAGCTTCAGTTTCTTCTTACAGGATGACCTTTTCAACTTTTCTAACCACATTTCTCCCTCACTTCTGTTAATCCATCCTGCAATAATATCAACCATTATTCTTCATATATCCAAACAATTACTAATAACATCTAATAATGCCGAATATTATAACCCTAAACCTGCCATTTTGCATCTACTGTACATACTTTCATGTAACTTAATTCATCCCCATTTACAGATACTAATAAAAGTTACCCTCTCCAAATTATTTATTTCAGTAATCTGAATTCTAGATCTGTGCATCTTTAATTTCTATTTATTACAGAATTTAAAAATAAATCCTTTATATTGACATAATTAAAGCTTGCGCATTCCATCTGGAAAATAATTTTCAGTTCCCACAGTATTAGATCCACCTCTGTTGTAGGATATGGTTCATTTTCTGCCTCTTCCTCCAAGCATAAAATTCTACAAGGTTCTATTCCTGTCTTAAGTTTTAACAATTTTCACAGCACATAAAATTCTATCTACTTATGCTGATGAATCTGCATCCCTCTTCATACTGTGGTCATGGCTCTTCTGCAGCTTTCACTATTTCACTATTTAATGTCTAATTATATCTGACATACATTTCATATTTATGAAATACCTGCAACTTGTTCACTTTACTAAAACACATTTTTACCTATTTGATTAAGGCAAACTCCCATCAATTATAAGTTACATAGGAGGACCCCCGTATCCGCAGGTCTGGTATCCAAGGCTTCAGTTATCCATGGTTTACCATGGCCCGAAAATAACCCTTAATTTTGCTTATTAATGACTTCAAAGTGCAAAAATAGTGATGATGGTAGTTCTTCAAAGCCTAAGAGAAGTTAAGAAATGCTTCTTATTGTGTGTAATTATCAATTAAACTTTATAATAGGTATGCATGTAAACAAAAAACGACTTACATAGTATAACATTTGCTACTATCTGCGGTTTCAGTATCCACAGCAAGTCCTTGGAATGTAACATTGGCATATACAGGGTGTCTATTGTGCTTTCAAGACTATCTTAAGCCTCAATAAACCAAACAATTCAACATCATTTTCTGGTCCAGAAGACATGCTTCTCAGTTGAGCTCTGTTTAAGTCTCAAATGACCTTGTCTAGAAGACTACTTTCATGTATGAAGAGTCTTGATTCAGTTCAAAGGAAAGCTATATAAACCATACCACGGGTGGGGTTTGATCCTGCGGTCAGAGAGTCTCAAAACTCCAGACCATCCAGAAAGTTATATCATGAGCCTCTTCCCCCATACAAAACTGTATCACTTTATTTATACAATGGTTTTACAGGATTAGGTTATGAGTTCCTACCTTCATTTACAAGTTAAAAGTTGTTACAGACCTCAACTCATCTGAAAGCCTTTTATTGTTATGAGACATACAAATAAGGAATAGGATGTAGACGAATCCATCTGTGGGTCAGCGTTTCATTTGATCAACTGACTTTTATTTCATAAATGTCATTATGCTGTGCAAACATGTCATTCTAGGAAAGAATGATTTCAGATGAAGTGATGCTCTGGAGACGGGTACAACCAGAGTGTACTTGCTGTTCACTGCCTGTCTTGTTGTGTAGAAGCTCTCTTCTCACTGACCACAGAGTGGAGCCAAGTGTAGTACCTTAACAGCATTGGCCTTGTATATAACAGTAAAGCCACCCACATCCCTCTGGTGCTGAAGGTTCTGCAGAAATAACAGATTTATCCATGCCAGGTCCAGACAAGAGATGAGTTGCCCTCCTCTGTTCTTCATTCTGTCAAGAAATCGTAGGCGAGATGGGGTGCAGGCAATCCAAGAAAGTGGAGCATACTCAAAGTGTGAGTGTACTTGTGCCTTGTGCAAAGTCTTGCAGATGCAAGTACGTCTAAGTGTTGCAAGCTTCCTGGCCATTTTGTTTGTGAGATTTGTTATGTGGTTCTTCATAGTCAGTTTGGAATCAAATTTCACCCACAGGGATATCAACCTCATCCCCAGGCTCCAACACTCTCACATTCATTCTTTTCATTGCTCTAGAAGTACAATCAGGTCCTAGAAATCGTCATCATTTGTGTTTTCTCAGAAGCAAATGTGACCTGCCATCGTTTTCCACAGGGTGATATAGCTGTAAGCTGGTGAGTGATGCAACTTAGAGTAGTTGACATTTCCTCCCATGGCTAAGTAAATGTCAGAGTACAGTCATCTGCATATGCATGTGATTCTGGGATGAAATGAAGATGATCACTGAAGTAGATATTCCATAACAATGGCCCCTGTGGAACATTAGCACCAATATAGTGTCTTGTTGACTCTGTCCCACTGAGAACTACTCTTAGAGAGCTATCTTGAAGGTAATCACTAAGGAGGCATAGTGCAGAGCCAGCAACACCTAGTTCTTGCAATTTTGCTAAGAGTCCCTCATGTCATACTTTGTTGAAAGCACCAGCTATGTCCATTGCTACTACACTGCTGATCTTGGATTCATCCAGTGACTGCTGCCACACTGTGGAGAGGTTTTAACAGCAAATCAACAACAGTGACCCTTTCTGGAGCCACACTGACAGTCGCAAAGAAAGTGAAAGTCGGAAAATGCTGTCATCTGCTGAGATTATTATTTTGAGAATCTTGCCAGTGACTGACAGGAGTAACACTGGTCTGTAGTTGTTGAGTTCTGCTCTGCTCTCCTTTCTGTGAACAGGGATTACATCTGCCTCTTTCTACAGTAAAGGTCATTCACACTGTGCTAATGTTGCGATAGATGTGTTAGAAGTGATGCTAGCTGGTTTGCACATCTACTCAGCAATCTTGGGCTCACCTTATCTCGACCCACAGCATTTTCTTGGCCCCAGGGATTTAAGATACACTTCACCATGTCTTACTGTCACCTCCGACATCTTTGACAGCTAGCAAAGGAGGTTGATTCCCTTGCTGGATTAGGAACTTGCATCTTGGCAACAAATTGTTCAACAAAGAGGTCAGCTTTCTCCTGACTGTTAGTAGATATGATTCCATCCTGCCAATTTAGAGGAGGACTAATGTCAGTCAGTCCTTGTCAGTCCTTTGTCAAGGACTGACAAGGTTATGGAATCAAGGTTATGATTCCAGTTTTCTTCTTGAATCAGCCTCTCATCTAGAGATGGCCCACTTCTGGACTTCTTCCATTTGCCAACAGGTTTCCCTGTGCAGGTACCAGTTATAGATAGTGGGATGCCTTTTATCCATTTTCCAAGCCTTGTACTTAGCAGTAGCAGCCTTTCAACAAAGGAAGCTGAACCAAGGCTGTTCCATTACTTTTAGGCTTAGAAACAAGAGTTATAAACCTAATCTGTGTAAAGAGTTAACTAATACAGTATTTGCACCAGTCCCTTTACACAGTCATATAATAAGAGTACTTTCACCAGTTTCTTCTTGTGAATGTTGTGTGAATACTATCAGTTCTAATTTACAAAACTATGCTTTTTCTCATACCTTTATTACACTGCAATTCTGTGAAACAAATTAATTTACCATTCCATGCCATTCTGATACCTTTGATCTCTAGTCCAACAAGACAAAACAGCAGAAATATTTTCTGAATAGCCAATGTTCTTTTGTTTTCCAGCAGGTAAATGAGGAGGAATATTGTAACCTAGCCTAACCTTCAGGGGTCCTGAGTCACATTCTTTAAAAAGAAAATACTTGCCTCAATATCACTATCATCAGCATTGTCCTCAAGGCCTTTGATTCGTAAATATCGAGCACCACGTATAAATGCCTGAAGACGCTCCTGGTTTACACATACCTAAGAATGAATACAGTATTATACAGCAGCTTAGGTTAGGGTATTTGCAAACAGATAATTTTTTATTTTAAGGAAAAAACAAAGCAAACTGAAATGGAAAAACTGTCAAAATAAATTTCTGCAAAGCATATTGAGAAAAGAACGTGAAGAAAAATTATATATGTACTTCTGATATTTTGGCAATGTTGAATGAATGAATAATGAACTGTTACAGAGCAAGAAAGTGAGAAGTGTGCAGTACATATAAAAAGCAATAAAGAAAGGAGTAAAAGAATGAAGCCAAGAACCAGGTGGAATAATACATGGAAGTAGCCTGTACGTGTCATCTGCACTTACCACTGTAGCAGCTAATAATAGAAACTTTTTGAGGTAAGAAATATTAACCTACAGGAAATTACAATATTTAAAAGATGTATGAAATATTATGCAGTCTCCTCTATACTTCCACATTATGACAAGAATGATATACTGAATAACATTAACAAGGAAAATATTACAATGCAAGATATATTTTTTTTTCTTCCATAACTAATTCACAAACTGGACATAAAATAAATTCACAAACTGAAGATGCAACTACAGGAGGGCCTCGCTTTACAGTGCTTCACTCTACAGCATTTTGTTAATACAGCAGTTTTCAATTATACCCAGAGTTCATTTATTCAGGCTTCCTACAATAAATATATTCACCAGTCACTATAAAGACAAAAATATTTTAAGGTAAGTAATGTGTGTCCTAGGTAGTAGGCTGGTAGACAGCAACTGCTCAGGGAGGTACTATCGTCTTGCCAAGTGAGTGTAAAACAGAAACCTGTAATTGTTTTACATGAAGGTAGGAATGCAGGTGTCTTTTTTTAGAGGTAAGACAGAGAGCAGGATTGCAGATGAACAAGGAGGCTTTAGACTGGGTAGGGGATGTGTAGATCAAGTGTTTACATTGAAGCATATACATGTGAACAGTATTCAGATAAAGGTAGGTAAAGTTTTCATTGCATTTATGGATTCAGAAAAGGCATACGATAGAATGGATAGGGAAGCAATGTGGCAAATGCTGCAAGTGTATGGAATAGGTAGTAAGTTATTAACCCTTTCAGGGTCAGCAGGCCCTCTCCTAAACTTGTTCTCAGGGTCGTAAATTTTTCAAAAAAAAAAAAAAAAAGGAAAAAAATTATTACTTTTTCTTATGAAATGATAGAGAATCATTTCCCGATCATAATGACACCAAAAGTATGAAATTTCATGGAAAACTTACGGAATTATGCTCTCATGAAGTTAGCGGTCTCGACGATGTTTAAGCATCGGCAATTTCGCACCACTTTGAGCCATATTATCAGCCAATTCCAATGTACCAGTTCACAAAAATCATACCTATTTCACTAGAACTCCATTTTGTCTATCAAATGAGTACAAGAAACCACCCATTTACAGATATCCACTAACCAATAACATGCTCAGAAATTGGCAATTTTACCAATTTCATACAAATTTCAAAAGATGTCAATTTCCAAATAGGGTCCAGAATAAACAAGACAGACATTCCTGGCACTAAAATAGCATTTCCTCTGTTCATTACTTATGTCCCCAGGCCTCTGTTACATTTCTTTTGCTTTCCACTTCGAATTTTTATTCTCACAAAAAATAGAAGATTTATGTTATGCAGACTACTGCATTCATGTAGAAATGGTATAAATAACATCAGCACACTTATGAAAGAGTATTAGACTCGCCAGTTGGCGTGTATTGGATGCGTGGCATGATTTGTTTACCTTTGAACTTTGGCAAAAATCAAACATTTCTGCTACTTTGAGCTCAATTTTAAGGTACTTTTCATTGCGAAACCAATCAAAATCATCTCAATTTCCATAATATGTCTTCCATTCTATAAAATGAGACCAGGAAAATTAGAATACCACCATAAATAGCATACGGAAATACACTGCAAAGTCGCTGTTTTAAACCAAAAACACGATCGGAGTTTTTTTTTTCTCATTATGCACTGTGTGCTGCAGGATTTTTTTTATACTGCACACACTGACCACATAGACCCATTCTTCCATATGTAGGCCTACCAGCTTTCTCTCACTAGATTTGAAGGGCTAGAATTTATGCGTACTAGTACGGCACGACCCTGGCGTGCAAGCTGTACTAGTACGGCACCAACCCTGAAAGCGTTAAATGCTGTAGAGAGTTTTTATGAGGATAGTGAAGCTCAGGTTAGGGTGTGTAGGAGTGAGGGAGATTACTTTCCAGTAAAAGTTGGTCTAAGACAGGATGTGTAGTGTCACCATGGTTGTTTAACATATTTATAGATGGGGTTGTAAAGAAGTAAATGGTAGGGTGTTGGGGAGAGGGGTGGGATTAAATTATGGGGAATCAAATACAAAATGGGAGCTGAACAGTTACTTTTGCTGATGATACTGTGTTTTGGGGGATTCTAAAGAAAAGTTGCAAAGGTTAGTAGACGAGTTTGGGAGGGTGTGTAAAGTTGAAAGTGAACATAGATAAAAGCAAGGTGATGAGGGTATCAAACAATTTAGATAAAGAAAAATTGGATATCACATTGGAGGGAGGGAGTACAGAAAAAGTGAATGTTTTCAGATATTTGGATGAGGTTAACCATAGAACTGATGAAGGAAAAAAGGTGAGTGGTGCTTTGAGGCATCTGTGGAGACAAAAAATTTTATCCCTGGAGGTAAAAAACGGAATGTACAAGAATATAGTGGTACCAACAGTCTTATATGGGTGAGAAGCAATGGTTGTAAATGCTGTAGTGAGGAGGAGGCTGCAGGCAGTGGAGATGTCGTGTCTAACGGCAATGTGTGGTTTAAATATTATGCAGAGAATTCATACTGTGGAAATTAGGAGGTGTGGAGCTACTAAAAGTATTAGTCAGAGGGCTGAAGAGGGGATGTTGAGAAGGTTTGGTCAATTAGAGAGAATGGAACAAAATAGAATGACTTGGAGAGCGTATAAATCTGTAAATGAAGGAAGGCAAGGTAGGGGTCGTCTTCGAAAAGGTTGGAGGGAGGGGACAAAGGAGGTTTTGCAGGTGAGGGGCTTGAACTTCCAGCAAGCGTGCGTGAGCGTATTCGATAGGAGTGAATGGAGACAAACAGTTTTTTAGGCCTGACAGGCTGTTGGAGTGTGAGCAGGGTAATATTTTGTCAAAGGATTCAGGGAAACCGGTTAGCCGGACTTGAGTCCTGGAAATGGGAAGTACAATGCCTGCATTTTAAAGGAGGGGTTTGGGATATTGGGAGTTTGGAGGGACATCTAAACTGTCATATCTGAGTGCCTCTGCAAAGACAGTGATTATGAGTGATGGTAAAAGTGTTGGGTGGGAAACAGCCAACATATAAAAAAAAAAATATAAAAAAAAAAAAAAATCAATATTTCAGATACATCTTGCTACTTCTACTTAGGTCACACTACACATGCATTTACAAGCATATATATACACACACCCCTCTGGGTTTTCTTCTATTTTCTCACTAGTTCTTGTTTATTTCCGTTTATCTCCATGGGGAAGTGGAACAGAATTCTTCCTCCCTAAGCCATGCGTGTTGTAAGAAGCAACTAAAATGCCAGGACCAAGGGGCTAGTAACCCCTTCTCCTGAATACATTACTAAAATTAAAAGGAAAACTTTCATTTTTCATTTTATGTCACCCTGCCTTGGTGGGACACTGCTGGGTCATGAAAAAAAAAAATGCGTGTACTTTTTATGCATTTTTTAGGCCTAGCTCTACTGCTCACTTAATCTATGATAGTGTAAACATGCTATCAGGCATTTATGTGCATCTGAAAGTGAAAAAAGACCATGTTTCACTTTACAGCAATTTTTGTTTTAGAGCAGTATCCCAGAACCTAACCTGATGTTACAAGTTGGGGCCCTGCCATTTCAAGACAGTCTTGACTAATATACTGAGAACATAAAATATCATGCAGATTATGCCCTCACTGTCCCACAACTATGACTAGTATATTTATAAGTATTTGAATTATTAATTATTTCAGCTATAACTATGTAACTTTTAGTGATTGTATTACTCTTTAACTGTGCAAACTTTGCATTAGGTGTGTATAGTGATATAAGTTAATACTAAATATATGTGTACCCATACTTGGCCTGAGTACATGAAGTCCACCATGGCTTTCAGTTCAGGATAACGAATCTCCATAGGCAACAACACAATGGGATGTTTAGAAGGATTGTCCTGGAAGTAAAGAAAATTCATTTACACACTTTACTAAGTTCCATTAAATTATATTAAGTAATTTTGCCATGTGTGTCCTAAGAGGTGACTAAAATGCTGGGAGCAAGAGGCTAGTAACCCTTCTCATGTATAAATTACTAAATTTAAAAAGAAAAACGTTAGTTTTCTTTTTAAATGCCAGGAGCGATGGGCTAGTAACCCCTTCTCCTGTAGACATTTGCTAAAAAAGAGAAGAAGAAAAACTTTATAAAACTGGGATGCTTGAATGTGCGTGGATGTAGTGTGGATGACAAGAAACAGACGATTGCTGATGTTATGAATGAAAAGAAGTTGGATGTCCTGGCCCTAAGCGAAACAAAGTTGAAGGGGGTAGGGGAGTTTCGGTGGGGGTAAATAAATGGGATTAAATCTGGAGTATCTGAGAGAGTAAGAGCTAAGGAAGGGGTAGCAGTAATGTTGAAGGATCAGTTATGGAAGGAGAAAAGAGAATATGAATGTGTAAATTCAAGGATTACGTGGATTAAAGTAAAGGTTGGATGCAAAAAGTGGGTCATAATAAGCATTTTTGCACCTGGAGAAGAGAGGAATGTAGAGGAGAGAGAGAGATTTTGGGAGATGTTAAGTGAATGTATAGGAACCTTTGAACCAAGTGAGAGAGTAATTGTGGTAGGGGACCTGAATGCTAAAGTAGGAGAAACTTTTAGAGAGTGTGTGGTAGGTAAGTTAGGGGTGCCAGGTGTAAATGATAATGGGAGCCCTTTGATTGAACTTTGTATAGAAAGGGGTTTCGTTATAGGTAATACATATTTTAAGAAAAAGAGGATAAATAAGTATACAAGATATGATGTAGGGCGAAATGACAGTAGTTTGTTGGATTATGTATTTGTAGATAAAAGACTGTTGAGTAGACTTCAGGATGTACATGTTTATAGAGGGGGCCACAGATATATCAGATCACTTTTTAGTTGTAGCTACACTGAGAGTAAAAGGTAGATGGGATACAAGGAGAATAGAAGCATCAGGGAAGAGAGGGGTGAAGGTTTATAAACTAAAAGAGGAGGCAGTTAGGGCATGAGAGGTTTTTACAAAATAGAAGTGATGCAAGGAGAGAAGAGTATATGGAGAAAAAGAGAGATGTTAAGAGAGTGGTGAAGCAATGTAAAAGAGAGCAAATGAGAGAGTGGGTGAGATGTTATCAACAAATTTTGTTGAAAATAAGAAAAAGTTTTGGAGTGAGATTAACAAGTTAAGGAAGCCTAGAGAACAAATGGATTTGTCAGTTAAAAATAGGAGAGGCGAGTTATTAAATGGAGAGTTAGAGGTATTGGGAAGATGGAGGGGAATATTTTGAGGAATTGTTAAATGTTGATGAAGATAGGGAAGCTGTGATTTCGTGTATAGGGCAAGGAGGAATAACATCTTGTAGGAGTGAGGAAGAGCCAGTTGTGAGTTTGGGGGAAGTTCGTGAGGCAGTAGGTAAAATGAAAGGGGGTAAGGCAGCTGGGATTGATGGGATAAAGATAGAAATGTTAAAAGCAGTGGGGATATAGTTTTCGAGTGTTGGTGCTATTATTTAAAAATGTATGGAAGAGGGTAAGGTACCTAGGGATTGGCATAGAGCATACATAGTTCCTTTGTATAAAGGCAAAGGGGACAAAAGAGTGCAAAAATTATAGGGGGATAAGTCTGAGTGCAAAAATTATAGGGGGATAAGTCTGTTGAATCTAGGTAGTAGGTTGGTAGACAGCAACCACCCAGGGAGGTACTACCGTCCTGCCAAGTGAGTGTAAAACGGAAACCTGTAATTGTTTTACATGATGGTAGGATGGCTGGTATCTTTTTTTCTGTCTCATACACATGCAAGATTTCAGGTACATCTTGCTACTTCTACTTACACTTAGGTCACATTACACATACATGTACAAGCATTTACATACACTCCTCTGGGTTTTCTTCTATTTTCTTTCTAGTTCTTGTTCTTGTTTATTTCCTCTTATCTCCATGGGGAAGTGGAACAGAATTCTTCCTCCGTTAGCTATGCGTGTTGTAAGAGGCGACTAAAATGCCGGGAGCAAGGGGCTAGTAACTCCTTCTCCTGTATATATTACTAAATTTAAAACGAGAAACTTCTGTTTTTCTTTATGGGCCCCCCCACCTCGGTGGGATACGGCTGGTGCGTTTAAAGAAATAAGTCTGTTGAGTATACCTAGTAAAGTGTATGGTAGAGTTATTATTGAAAGAATTAAGATTAAGACAAAGAATAGGATAGCAGATGAACAAGGAGGCTTTAGGAAAGGTAGGGGTGTGTGGACCAGGTGTTTACAGTGAAACATATAAGTGAACAGTATTTAGATAAGGCCAAAGAGGTTTTTGTGGCATTTATGGATTTGGAAAAGGTGTATGACAGGGTGGATAGGGGGAAATGTGGCAGATGTTGCAGGTGTATGGTGTAGGAGGTAGGTTACTGAAAGCAGTGAAGAGTTTTTACGAGGATAGTGAGGCTCAAGTTAGAGTATGTAGGAAAGAGGGAGATTATTTCCCAGTAAAAGTAGGCCTTAGACAAGGATGTGTGATATCATCATAGTTGTTTAATATATTTATAGATGGGGTTGCAAGAGAAGTAAATGTGAGGGTCTTGGCAAGAGGTGTGGAGTTAAAAGATAAAGAATCACACATAAAGTGGGAGTTGTCACAGTTGCTCTTTGCTGATGACACTGTGCTCTTGGGAGATTCTGAAGAGAAGTTGCAGAGGTTGGTGGATGAATTTGGTAGGGTATGCAAAAGAAAATTAAAAGTGAATACAGGAAAGAGTAAGGTTATGAGGATAACCAAAAGACTAGGTGATGAAAGATTGGATATCAGATTGGAGGGAGAGAGTATGGAGGAGGTGAATGTATTCAGATATTTGGGAGTGGACGTGTCAGCGGATGGGTCTATGAAAGATGAGGTGAATCATAGAATTGATGAGGGGAAAAGGGTGAGAGGTGCAGTTAGGAGTTTGTGGAGACAAAACTTTGTCCTTGGAGGCAAAAAGGGGAATGAAATGAGAGTATGGGTTTTACCAACGCTCTTATATGGGTGTGAAGCAGGGGTGATGAATGTTGCAGCGAGGAGAAGGCTGGAGGCAGTGGAGATGTCATGTCTGAGGGCAATGTGTGGTGTGAATATAATGCAGAGAATTCGGAGTTTGGAAGTTGGGAGGAGGTGCGGGATTACCAAAACTGTTGTCCAGAGGGCTGAGGAAGGGTTGTTGAGGTGGTTTGGACATGTAGAGAGAATGAGTGAAACAGAATGACTTCAAGAGTGTATCAGTCTGTAGTGGAAGGAAGGCGGGGTAGGTCGGCCTAGGAAAGGTTGGAGGGAGGGGTAAAGGGGGTTTTTGTGTTCGAGGGGCTTGGACTTCCAGCAGCATGCGTGAGCTTGTTTGATAGGAGTGAATGGAGACAAATGGTTTTTAATACTTGACGTGCTGTTGGAGTGTGAGCAAAGTAACATTTATGAAGGGATTCAGGGAAACCGGCAGGCCAGACTTGAGTCCTGGAGATGGGAAGTACAGTGCCTGCACTCTGAAGGAGGGGTGTTAATGTTGCAGTTTAAAAACTGTAGTGTAAAGCACCCTTCTGGCAAGACAGTGATGGAGTGAATGATGGTGAAAATTTTTCTTTTTCGTTTTTTCGGGCCACCCTGCCTTGGTGGGAATCGGCCAGTGTGTTAATAAAAATAATAAAATGGTCAATGAAAGTTAAGATGAACCATTAAATACATAAGGAAGAATAGATAGAAGTGTTAAAGCATGTGGATGAAAGAACTTTATGTATGGAGTCATAAAGGAAAATGCACCAGTTAGTGGTACCAACACTTTTGTATGGGTGTGAGACATGGTTATTAAATGTTGCAGTAAGAAGGAGGCTAGTGTCAGTGGAGATGTCATGTCTGAGAGCAATGCATGTTGTGAATATTATGCAGAGAATTAAGAGACTAGAGGTTAGAAGAGACTGTGGAGTTATGAAAAATCTAATTCAGAGGGAAGTGGAGATGGGGTTTTTAAGAGGGTCTGACCATTTAAAACAGGGTGGAACAGAATAGGATGACAAAGAAAATATATGAATCTGAGGTGGAGGGAAGGAAAGGAAAAGGGTTATTCCTGCTGGACTGAGCATCCAGCAGGATTACATGAGCATGTTAGATCAGAGGAAATAGAAGTGTTTTTAAGGCCTTCACATGCAGCTGGAGAGCAAGCAGGGGGTGCTTGGGATTTCCTGAAGGGATTCAGCAAAAATGGTTAGCCAAACTTTAATCCAGAAATACAGTGTTTGTACTCTGAGGGAGAGATGGAGATGTTACAATTTGGAGTGTCATCAGAATTACACACACAGATGCTCCTCGACCTACAGTGGGGCTACATTCTGATGAGCCCATCTTAAGTAGAAAATATCGTAACTTGAATATGAATACGTATATGATAAGTAAATAACTACTGTCACTGAATAAGTAAATAAACAAATAATTACTGTGACTAACTTAATACCAGCCTCAGTACCAACAAGCTGATGAAGATCTTCATCCATTTCCAATTCTAGCTGTCTCCCAAGCAATAAAATCTTGACTACTGAATGTGCATCACTATCGCTCCATTGTAAAGTCAAAATATTGCAAGTCAAACCACTGTAAAGTTTGGAGCATCTGTAATGTGTGTGTACTTCTGGCAAGACAGCTTTATGAATGATGATGAATTTGGTTCATTTTTTAGGGGTCATTCTACCTTAGTGAGAGATGGCTACTGTGTTAAAAGAAAATTTATTTGATTTTCCTTACAAAATAGTGCAAATACATACCCTTAAGAAATCTCGAAAATAAGACGAACATGCTGCTAGAACAAGCTGATGTGCACGAATTTTGTTGCCATCACCACAAACAACTGTGACATCGACCAGATCACCTTCCCGCCGTAAACCACTCAATGTGTTCACCAGAGAACCATGGTAGTTATTCCACAATATGCAGTATTGGCTACCATCCATTTTGTATTAACTGCAAAAGTTTTATAAGGCTCAATTATTGTACTGCACTTATCAGTAGAGTCATTTCTCTAGATGGTAATACCTGCACATCCTATTATGTATGTACATATGTGCATGCATGTGTGCATGCACGCATGTATTGTGGATATAAAGTATATTTTGTAATTATTCAAACACTGTATAGATGATACCTGTACAAACTAAAACAAATTTACATACTGTAATTCATGTAATTTTGGCATGAAATATTCTATTGAATCAAATTACGAGAAAAGAGATTAATGATTATAAAAGTTAATTAACCTCTTCTCCTATAGTATACATTACTAAATTTAACCCTTTCAGGGTTTTCGACATACTAGTACGGCTTACGCACTAGGGTTATTGACGTACTAGAACACCTAAATTCTAGGTCCTTCAAATCTAGCGAGAGAAAGCTGGTAGGCCTACATATGAAAGAATGGGTCTATGTGGTCAGTGTGCGCAGTATAAAAAAAATCCTGCAGCACACAGTGCGTAATGAGAAAAAAAAACTTTGACCGTGTTTTTGGATTAAAACAGCGACTTTGCACTGTATTTTCGTGTGGTATTTATGGTTGTATTCTAGTTTTCCTGGTCTCATTTTATAGAATGGAAGACATATTACAGAAATTGTGATGATTTTGATTGATTTCACAATGAAAAGTACCTTGAAATTGAGCTCAAAGTAGCAGAAATGTTCGATTTTTACCAAGGTTTAAAAGTAAACAAATCATGCTATGCGTCCAATACACGTCAACTGGTGAGTCTATTATTCTTTCACAAGTGCGCTGATATTATTTATACCATTTCTACACTAATGCAGTAGTCTGCATAACAGTAAATCTATTTTTTGTAAGAATAAAAATTCGAAGTGGAAAGCAAAAAAAATATAAGAAGGGCCTGGCGATGTGACTAACGAACAGAGAAATTTTTATTTTAGTGCCAGGAATGTCTGTCTTGTTTATTCTGGACCCTATTTGGAAATTGGCATCTTCTGAAATTTGTGTGAAATTGGCAAAATTGCCAAATTCTAACGACTTTATTGGATAGTTGAAATTGGTAAATGGGTGGTTTTTTGTACTCATTCGATAGAAAAAAATGGAGTTCTAGCGAAATAAATATGACTTTTGTCGACTAGTACACAGGAATTGACCGAAAATAGGGCTCAAAGTGGGCAAAATCGCCAATGCTTAAACATCGGTAAGACCGCAAACTTCGCTAGAGCATAATTCCCTAAGTTTTCCATCAAATTTCATACTATTGGTGTCATTATGATCAGGAAAAGATTCTCTATCATTTCATATGGAAAAATAATTTTTTTTTTTTGAAAAATTTTTGACCCTGAGAACAAGTTTAGGAGATGGCCTCTTGACCCTGAAAGGGTTAAAAAGAGAAACTGTCCTTTTTCTTTTTAGGTCACCCTGCCTCGGTGAGATATGGCCAGTTCATTGAAAAAAATAATAGTTAACCCTTTGAGGGTTTCAGCCGTACTAGTACGGCTTACGACCCAGGGTTTTTGACGTACTAGTACGCATAAATTCTAGTGCCCTCAAATCTAGTGGGAGAAAGCTGGTAGGCCTACATATGAAATAATGGGTCTATGTGGTCAGTGTGCACAGTATAAAAAAATCATGCCGCACACAGTGTATGAGAAAAAAAAACTTTGACCGTTTTTTTGGAATAAAACAGCGAATTTGCACTGTATTTTCATATGGTATTTATTGTTGTATTCTAGTTTTCTTGGTCTCATTTTATAGAATGGAAGACATATTACAGAAATTGAGATGATTTTGACTGGTTTTACAATGAAAAGCACCTTGAAATTGAGCTCAAAGTAGCAGAAATGTTCGATTTTTACCAAACTTCAAAAGTAAACAAATCATGCCAAGCGTCCAATACACATCAACTGGTGAATCTAATATTCTTTCAAAAGTGTCCCAAATTTATTATTATACAATTTTTTACACTAATGCAGTAGTCTGCATAACAAAAAATCTTCTTATTTTTGTGAGAATAAAAATTCCAAGTGGAAAGCAAAAAATATAAGGGGGGCCTTGAGACGTGACTAATGAACAGGGGAAGTGTCATTTAGTGCAGGAATGTCTTTCTTGTTTATCCTGGACCCTATTTGGAAAATTGGCATCTTTTGAAATTTGTGTGAAATTGGCAAAATTGCTAAATTCTGACCACTGTATTGGATAGTTGAAATTGATAAATGGGTGGTTTCTTGCATTCATTCGATAGAAAAATTGGAGTTCTAGCAAAATATTCTTGTTTTTTGTCGACTAGTACAGTGGAATTGGCCGAAAATGGGACTCAAAGTGGGCAAAATCGCCAATGCGTAAACATCGCCGAGACCGCTAACTTCGTGAAAGCATAATTCTGTAAGTTTTCCATCAAATTTCAAACTTTTGGTGTCATTATGATCAGGAGATTCTCTATCTTTTCATAAGAGAATTTTTTTTTTTTTTTAAATTTGGCCGACCCACAGAACGAGTCTTGGAGAGGGCCTGTCGACCCTCAAAGGGTTAATTCACAAAACACACCTAATACAGAAAAATAAAATGCATTTGAAATGCTCATAATGACAGGACTCCCAAATAATATTGTATGAGATGATAAAAGTTTAGAACTAATATCCAAAGTTCCTGCATTGTTGTGATGGTGGTATGATCATCTCAAAATTAAAAGGACCCCCAGGCACAATCCTGGGCAAAAGGAGACATATAATAAAATGTCCTAAAATCTGCTGCCACTGTTCACCTAACAGTAAATATATACCTAGGAGTTAAGTCAACTATTACTGGTGGAATTCTGAGGGATATACTATTGGCAAAATAGTTTGGCTAAGTTTCAGCTGAAAGATAACTGGATTATTTTTTATTTTTTATTATCACACCGGCCGATTCCCACCAAGGCAGGGTGGCCCGAAAAAGAAAAACTTTCACCATCATTCACTCCATCACTGTCTTGCCAGAAGGGTGCTTTACACTACAGTTTTTAAACTGCAACATTAACACCCCTCCTTCAGAGTGCAGGCACTGTACTTCCCATCTCCAGGACTCAAGTCCGGCCTGCCGGTTTCCCTGAATCCCTTCATAAATGTTACTTTGCTCACACTCCAACAGCACGTCAAGTATTAAAAACCATTTGTCCCCATTCACTCCTATCAAACACCTCACGCATGCCTGCTGGAAGTCCAAGCCCCGCACACAAAACCTCCTTTACCCCTCCCTCCAAACCCCTTTCCCAGGCCGACCCCTACCCCGCCTTCCTTCCACTACAGACTGATACACTCTTGAAGTCATTCTGTTTCGCCCCCATTCTCTCTACATGTCCGAACAAACCCCAACAACCCTTCCCAGCCCTCTGGACAACAGTTTTTGGTAATCCCGCACCTCCTCCTAACTTCCAAACTACGAATTCTCTGCATTAAAATTCACAAACCCCACATTGCCCTCAGACATGACATCTCCACTGCCTCCAGCCTTCCCCCTCGCTGCAACATTCATCACCCCCCGCTTCACACCCATATAAGAGCGTTGGGAAAACTATACTCTCATACATTCCCCTCTTTGCCTCCAAGGACAAAGTTTCTTTGTCTCCACAGACTCCTAAGTGCACCACTCACTCTTTTTTCCCTCATCAATTCTATGATTCACCTCATTTTCATAGACCCATCCCCTGACACGTCCACATCCCAAATATCTGAATACGTTCACCTCCTCCATACTCTCTCCCTCCAATCTGATATTCAATCTTTCATCACCTAATCTTTTTGTTATCCTCATAACCTTACTCTTTCCTGTATTCACCTTTAATTTTCTTCTTTTGCACACCCCACCAAATTCATCCACCATCTCTGTCAACTTCTCTTCAGAATCTCCCAAGAGCACAGTGTCATCAGCAAAGAGCAGCTGTGACAAACTCCCACTTTGTGTGTGATTCTTTATCTTTTAACTCCACGCCTCTTGCCAAGACCCTCGCATTTACTTCTCTTACAACCCCATCTATAAATATATTAAACAACCACGGTGACATCACACATCCTTGTCTAAGGCCTACTTTTACTGGGAAAAAATTCCCTCTTCCTACATACTCTAACTTGAGCCTCACTATCCTCGTAAAAAACTCTTCACTGCTTTCAGTAACCTACCTCCTACACATACACTTGCAACATCTGCCACATTGCCCCCCTATCCACCCTGTCATACGCCTTTTCCAAATCCATAAATGCCACAAAGACCTCTTTAGCCTTATCTAAATACTGTTCACTTATATGTTTCACTGTAAACACCTGGTCCACACACCCCCTACCTTTCCTAAAGCCTCCTTGTTCATCTGCTATCCTATTCTCCGTCTTACTCTTAATTCTTTCAATTATAACTCTAACCATACACTTTACCAGGTACACTCAACAGACTTATCCCCCTATAATTTTTTGCACTCTCTTTTATCCCCTTTGCCTTTATACAAAGGAACTATGCATGCTCTCTGCCAATCCCTAGGTACCTTACCCTCTTCCATACATTTATTAAACAATTGCACCAACCACTCCAAAACTATATCCCCACCTGCTTTTAACATTTCTATCTTTATCCCATCAATCCCGGCTGCCTTACCCCCTTTCATTTTACCTACTGCCTCACGAACTTCCCCACACTCACAACTGGCTCTTCCTCACTCCTACAAGATGTTATTCCTCCTTGCCCTATACACGAAATCACAGCTTCCCTATCTTCATCACATTTAACAATTCCTCAAAATATTCCCTCCATCTTCCCAATACCTCTAACTCTCCATTTAATAACTCTCCTCTCCTATTTTTAACTGACAAATCCATTTGTTCTCTAGGCTTTCTTAACTTGTTAATCTCACTCCAAAACTTTTTCTTATTTTCAACAAAATTTGTTGATAACATCTCACCCACTCTCTCATTTGCTCTCTTTTACATTGCTTCACCACTCTCTTAACCTCTCCTTTTTCTCCATATACTCTTCCCTCCTTGCATCACTTCTACTTTGTAAAAACTTCTCATATGCTAACTTTTTCTCCTTACTACTCTCTTTACATCATCATTCCACCAATCGCTCCTCTTCCCTCCTGCACCCATTTCCTGTAACCACAAACTTCTGCTGAACACTCTAACACTACATTTTTAAACCTACCCCATACCTCTTCGACCCCATTGCCTATGCTCTCATTAGCCCATCTATCCTCCAATAGCTGTTTATATCTTACCCTAACTGCCTCCTCTTTTAGTTTATAAACCTTCACCTCTCTCTTCCCTGATGCTTCTATTCTCCTTGTATCCCATCTACCTTTTTACTCTCAGTGTAGCTACAACTAGAAAGTGATCTGATATATCTGTGGCCCCTCTATAAACATGTACATCCTGAAGTCTACTCAACAGTCTTTATCTACCAATACATAATCCAACAAACTACTGTCATTTCGCCCTACATCATATCGTGTATACTTATTTATCCTCTTTTTCTTAAAATATGTATTACCTATAACTAAACCCCTTTCTATACAAAGTTCAATCAAAGGGCTCCCATTATCATTTACACCTGGCACCCCAAACTTACCTACCACACCCTCTCTAAAAGTTTCTCCTACTTTAGCATTCAAGTCCCCTACCACAATTACTCTCTCACTTGGTTCAAAGGCTCCTATACATCACTTAACATCTCCCAAAATCTCTCTCTCTCCTCTGCATTCCTCTCTTCTCCAGGTGCATACACGCTTATTATGACCCACCTTCTCGCATCCAACCTTTACTTTAATCCACATAATTCTTGAATTTACACATTCATATTCTCTTTTCTCCTTCCATAACTGATCATTTAACATTACTGCTACCCCTTCCTTTGCTCTAACTCTCTCAGATACTCCAGATTTAATCCCATTTATTTTCCCCCACTGAAACTCTCCTACCCCCTTCAGCTTTGTTTCGCTTAGGGCCAGGACATCCAACTTCTTTCATTCATAACATCAGCAATCATCTGTTTCTTGTCATCCGCACTACATCCACGCACATTTAAGCAACCCAGTTTTATAAAGTTTTTCTTCTTCTCTTTTTTAGTAATTGTATACAGGAGAAGGGGTTACTAGCCCATTGCTCCCGGCATTTTAGTCGCCTCATACGACACGCATGGCTTACGGAGGAAAGATTCTTTTCCACTTCCCCATGGACAATAGAAGAAATAAAAAAGAACAAGAGCTATTTAGAAAAAGGAGAAAAACCTAGATGTATGTATATATATATATGCATGTGCGTGTCTGTGAAGTGTGACCAAAGTGTAAGTAGGAGTAGCAAGATATCCCTGTTATCTTAGCGTGTTTATGAGACAGAAAAAGAATAACTGGATATTTTTGTTAATTCAGACAACATTATTATACAATAGCAGGATTTTAGGTATTAAAATTATCATCATTCATACTGTTTTTTAGGTTTGTGAAGGTAAGTTTATGAAATGTTTCAAGTCCTTTTTCATGTTAGATATCTGTAGCCCTACTCAATATAGATATCAATACAATTTTTTAATGTATTTTTATAATACCCAAAATATACCTGTGACTGATTTTGAACTTTCCCTCCCACAGTCTGGCTATGCTTCAGGCTTGTCTGATGCTTGCCTGGTCAACCAGGCTGCTGCTGACCTGCTGGCCCTCATATTAATCACACCCTCACCCTGGTATTATTATATTATATGCATAAGGAAGCACTAAACCTATATTGGTCAACAGCATCCTGATGATGGGAGAAAATTGGGTTTGATCTAAAGAATGGATACACAAATTCCTTGGATCAGGAGTCTTTTACCAGCATCAAGGAATTTTTTTTTACACACAATAATTTTACAGGTTAAGAACTGTTATCCTACCGTGGCTCTTTTCAAAGCCCAGCTTTATCTGATGTATACTACCACTCCCCAGGGTACATCCCACAGCAGTCGACTAACTAACTTTTTTGGGGTTATCCCAGGTTCTCTACACATATGCTGCTATGTATGATAATTATGTAACTGTATTTGTGTATATAGGTAGTAGGTTGGTAGACAGCAACCGCCCAGGGAGGTACTACCGTCCTGCCAAGTGAGTGTAAAACAAAAGCCTGTAATTGTTTTACATGATGGTAGGATTGCTGGTGTCCTTTTTTCTGTCTCATGAACATGCAAGATTTCAGGTACGTCTTGCTACTTCTACTTACACTTAGGTCACACTACACATACATGTACAAGCACATATATACACACCCCTCTGGGTTTTCTTCTATTTTCTTTCTAGTTCTTATTCTTGTTTATTTCCTCTTATCTCCATGGGGAAGTGGAACAGAATTCTTCCTCCGTAAGCCATGCGTGTTGTAAGAGGCAACTAAAATGCCGGGAGCAAGGGGCTAGTAACCTCTTCTCCTGTATATATTACTAAATGTAAAAGGAGAAACTTTCGTTTTTCCTTTTGGGCCACCCCGCCTCGGTGGGATACGGCCGGTGTGTTGAAAGAAAGAAAGAATTTGTGTATACCTGAATAAACTTATTTACTTACTAACACCCAGGAACCTACTTACTACTAGGTAACCAGGGCCAGCAGGTGTAAGCACACATGCACAACGTTTCCATCCATGCAGGGGATTGAATCACAGACACTCAGTGTGGGAGGCCCTACCTAACTAGCCACTGGACAGTAATGGGTGTAATGCTGGCATTGCACACAATTTGGATTCATTTGGGCTAAGTTTAAGGTAATTCAAAAAATGAAAAAAGTGGTCTTTATTCGAATGATGCTGAAAACTACAAATGAAATGTTAAACAATACTTCAAAAATAAATTAAACCAAGATGATGAAAGATTTTATTTGCATTCTGTCAGCAGTCATGTAAAATATAAAAAATCACAGCTAAAATCCATGTCTTACAATTAATTAAAATCCTTATGGGGAACAGAGATATCCTATGTAAAGTCATAAAATGTCACCTTTGTACAGTGTAGCTATAATGACTCAGGAATATGTATTTTCAATGTTAAAGGCAATTTACTCACATGTACAGTAGTGTAATAGTTTTGTAAATGACAGTCTGGATATTATTATAAATATTTATGGGTAAAGCACTGAACCCACAAAGTCATAAGTACCTGGGGAGAGAAGATCCAATTCCTTGTACCAAAACCTCCTCACCAGCATCAAGGAACCTCCCTTGAGGGGCAACAATCTGAAAAATTAAACTATAGTAAAACCTTATTTAAGCAAATGTTGATTTAATGAATTTTGGATCTAACAAATCCACAGCCCCAAGTCCACTGTTTCAAGCATGGAAAAACAATCTCATCACTCAAATTTAATGGACAATCTGCATGATCAGACACACACTTCCCATTATTAGTCCACTAAATCAGACCTATGGAAATCACTGACATTTTTGGGGTATCTTGGAAAATTAAGACATGTTACTAGGTATGGTAATTGTACTTGTGTACCTGTACCTAAACAAACTTACTTGTAAGTAGCAAAAGCAGTTCACCAGCATCACAAACAAGTTGACAAATTAGATATGTGCAAACCCTGAGCATCCTTTACAAAATGAAGATACCCAGGTATTATACAGTACATGTATGTCTAATTCATTTTGTCGCTATTGTATAACATTGATGTAATGCCACAAATTAAACATTATGACTGGTATGTACATATATTCTAGGTTCCTTAAACAACTAAATGTTCAACTTTATATAATTTTTGAAACTACAGATATGCACAAATTAGGATTACAGTCATTGAATGCTGGTATATAAATAAAATATTATCATTTGGAAACATACAACACGTCTTGCATTACAATTTTGAACTGTCTTTTTTTATATAATATACAAAAAGATAGGCTAGGATACAATTTTTCTAAGCAAAAACCTCTTATCAATCACAAAAAAAGGCTGTAATATATCATACAGCAACCAAGGATAAATAAAAGGAAATATATGCAATGATACATCAAACATATGCTGACACATGCAATGTAAGTTTTTCTGCTATACCTTAATACTCAATGGTAGACCATTGGGCTTAGGTGAGACAAGATGTTTGGACAAGTCTTATGCCTACTTATTATTTTCACCTAAGGGTAGATTATATTTGGATAATTACCTTAATAATAATAATTATTTCTACAAGTACATGAAACAATTTATACAGACCACAGCTGGCATCAATGACATACTACAGTGGAACCTTGGTACTCGAACAAAGCTCAGCGCTGGACCAATAAACACGACCTGCCAGAACTTCACTGTAAACTTTCGTGTTTCCTCTCATTTTTTTTTTTTATAAATATTTTTATAATATGAAGATTAGTGATAACAGCTAACCAAAAAGAAAATTGGATGGGAAGAATTTGTTCGATACTCAAACGGATCAGCACTCGAACAGCCTTCTGGAATGAATTAACTTCAAGTACCAAGGTTCCACTGTAGTATATAGAAATCCCCTTGTTATGCAGAGCATTTTGAGAAACTTAGGTTAATTTTGTTCCCAGGATGCAACCTACACCAGTTGGCTAACACCCAGATATCTACTTGCTGCTAGGTGAACAGGAACAACAGGAAACATTACACTCCCAGTTTCCACCTGCACCAGTGATCAAACCACAGATACTCAATGTGTGAGCTGATTGCACTACCAACTAAGCTATGAAACACCTTACTAAGTTTATTTAGGTACAAGCACACATAAGTACAATTATCATACCTAGTACCAATATGCATAAATTACCTAGGATAACCCCCCAAAAAAAAGTCAGACAAATGGACTTGTTTCCATTGTGGTCCTTGTAATATTTTATTATTTAAAGCCTAGGTGTAAGACACAGTAGAAATCAGTTACGATTATAGCCTTAAAAATTAAAACAGCTAAGTAATTAATTTGTGTGAAAATCAGTTACAATAAAAGGAGGTGCAGTAAGATTAAAATGAATCAAGTTATTTACATGAACATTAAATAAAAAGTTAAAAACCAGGGTAACCCAAGGTGAACAATGAGCCTTGTTTCCACTGATACCCTCTGGCCCTCTACCCAGGATACTGCCCATAGTAGTCTAATAACTCTTAGATAACTAGTTAATTGTCAGGTGAACACAAGAAACAGGTGTTGGGAGAACAGAGGAAGCAGGTGTTAGGAGAACAGAGGAAGAAAGTATTAGAACAGAGGAAGCAGGTGTTAGGAGAACAGAGGAAGCAGGTGTTATGAGAACAGAGGAAGAAGGTATTAGAACAGAGAAAGCAGGTGTCAGGATAACAGAGGAAGCAGGTGTTAGGAGAACAGAGGAAGCAGGTGTTAGGATAACAGAGGAAGCAGGTGTTAGGAAAACAATGGAAGCAGGTGTTAGAACAGAGGAAGCAGGTGTTAGCAGACTTGCCAAGGATTCAACCTAATCTAAATGTTAATAAATTATCAAGCGTAATGCATCCTGGAGTAGAGGTCATAAGGACCCTCTCAAAAATTAATTACACCACCTGGGTTATTAACCCTCTGGTATTTATATTCTGAAAACCTTCAGTCTTAAAACCTGTGTCACCTCCAGTTTTAAAACCCATGTCACCTCCAGTCTTAAAGCCTGTGTCACCTCCAGTCTTAAAACCTGTGTCACCTCCAGTCTTAAAACCCATGCCACCTCCAGTCTTAAAATCCATGTCACCTCCAGTCTTAAAACCTGTGTCACCTCCAGTCTTAAAACCCGTGTCACCTCCAGTTTTAAAACCTGTGTCACTTCCAGTTTTAAAACCAGTGTCACCTCCAGTTTTAAAACCCGTGTCACTTCCAGTTTTAAAACCCGTGTCACCCCCAGTTTTAAAACCCGTGTCACCTCCAGTTTTAAAACCTGTGTCACCTCTAGTTTTAAAACCCGTGTCACCTCCAGTCTTAAAACCTGTGTCACCTCCAGTTTTAAAACCAGTGTCACCTCCAGTTTTAAAACCTGTCACCTCCAGTTTTAAAACCTGTGTCACCTCCAGTTTTAAAACCTGTGTCACCTCCAGTTTTAAAACCCGTGTCACCTCCAGTTTTAAAACCCGTGTCACCTCCAGTTTTAAAACCCGTGTCACCTCCAGTTTTAAAACCCCTGTCGCCTCCAGTTTTAAAACCCCTGTCGCCTCCAGTTTTAAAACCTGTGTCACCTCCAGTTTTAAAACCCGTGTCGCCTCCAGTTTTAAAACCTGTGTCACCTCCAGTTTTAAAACCCGTGTCACCTCCAGTTTTAAAACCCGTGTCACCTCCAGTTTTAAAACCCGTGTCACCTCCAGTTTTAAAACCCGTGTCACCTCCAGTTTTAAAACCCCTGTCGCCTCCAGTTTTAAAACCTGTGTCACATCCAGTTTTAAAACCCGTGTCGCCTCCAGTTTTAAAACCCATCTCCATTACCATCACTCATACTTACATATAAAAACTTTAAAACATCTAAATGTTTATAAATTATCAAGCATAACGAGTGTTAAAGGTGTGTATTAATGCGAGTTTTATAGTGTACATAAGCGTATTAATGTGAGTTGTATAGTATACATAGTTTATAAAAATTTTATAAAATTGCTCACAGTGTCCAGAATATCTTGCTGTCAATTTTGTCAAGGTTGGGAACCAGAGCAATCATAGTACTAGGGGGAGAGAACACAACTTGTAGTACCTACAGTCAGTGGCCAGGCGTCAAACACCTTTTATTGTACAGCAATAAAGGAATGGAACAGACTGCCCGCACATGTCAAAGCCAGTCATAGCATGAACCAGTTCAAGAAGAGTGACAAAAGGTGTCTGATGAATGAAGCTACAAAAAGGGAGGGGAATGATTTTCTATTTTTTAGCTAACATACGTGTATTATTATTATTATTATAATCAAAAAGAAGCGCTAAGCCACAAGGGCTATACAGCGCTGCAGGGTAGGGAAGGAAGCAAGGGAATTGGATGGCAGGAGGGAGGGGGGATGATCAGCAGGTTACAGAAAACAGCGGGGCAGGGGATAGTACGGGGGTAGAGGGTAGCAAGAGATACAAGTAGAAAGGGCTGAAAGTATACAGATTTTGTGAGTAAGTCAGTCGTTGTCAAAAAGTCAATCAAGAGAGTCGGATGAAAGGTGGGTCCATCAGCGAAGAAGGGAAGGTAAAGAGAGACAGGGGGCGAAGGACGACGTCAGAGGTAAATTCTGCGTGCTCGTTGATAAGTGGGCAGTCCAACAGGAAGGCTGGACCGACGATAATGGAGTTGGCAATTCTCACCAGAGAGGAGCAAGAGCCTCTCCATGAGGATATCCATGAGTAAGACGAGTAATGGCCAATGCGGAAGACGGGAAGAGAGTAGTCTCCCAACCTCGACACTGGTGATAAGAAGAGGCCAGTAACCTGCTACTCGTTTCTTAATAGATGAAGTTTGTTGCCGAGCTTAGTAGACCAACGTTGTTGCCAACGGGTGTGACAGTGGGAAGATATTACAGCAAAATAGTCCGTAATGGAATACCTCTGTAAGGAAAATGGTAGGTCTGTTTACTGCTTGACCGCGCGCAGTGTCTGCCTGGTCATTGGCCTGTACGTCAAACATGACAGGGTCCCCAACAAAAAAAACAATATCTTTATGCTCCTAGTAATGATGCGGCGTAGCCAAAGTTGGATACGGAGGACTAAGGGCGCGAGGTGTATCAAATTTTTGGGTATAGCCTGTAAAGCACTAAGGAGTCTGAGACAACACAAATGAGCACAGGCATAGATGCAATACGGATAAGTGCTGTAAGGATGGCATAGTAATTAGCAGTTAAAAATACTAGCTGAAGATTAGTAAATGCCTTGTACGCGCGTTCCGGAAACACTGACTGCGAAATCCTACGCCGTCAGAGACCTTAGAGCCATCTGTTGTACACAGCAATGGCCTGAGAATTGAGAGTGAAAGTGGTCAAGAAAAAGATGATCGGAAGCGACCGTAGACAGTTGGGCTTTGAGCAAAGGGAGGGAGAAAGAACAGCTCGAAAAGCTGGAAACCTCCCAGGGGGGTAGGGAAAGTGAGATATACATGTACATAGAAAGGTGGTAGTTGAAGAGAAGACAAGAGCGAATGATGGCGAAGAGAGAAGGGACGGAAGTAGCAGGGGCGGCGAACAGATAAAGAATGTTTACTATTATCAGTGATACCATTCTATAAATGGAAGGATTGGGAGATCATGAGAGGTACATAGTAGCGCAGGC